GGGGGGTGTTGTGGTGACCGGTGGAGTTGAGGGAGGCATGAGAGGCTCCGAGGCGGATGGCACCGGCGGCGGCCACCACGCCATATCGGCTCCAACGCTGCCGGTGCTACTGGTTGGATGAGGTTGGGGGAGAGCCGGAGGGATAGGCTCGAAGAGAGAGACAAGGGCATATTTGCAAATATGTAACGGAATAGTGGGTGTCTTTGTAACATTGCCATAGGTTGCTTCCTGAACGTTGGATATGAATCGAACATTGTGAATCAAAGTTGGCAGGCACACCATCATCACCAATTGTGGTTTTTATAAGAGTAGAGATTCCTTGGGGGTTAGTTTTTTGAGGGAGAGCTCTTTGGTGACACCGTTCACTAGAATGAGCCTCCTTGAGGGCACGTTCGTTCACGCCAGGGGCCTCCTATAGGCAACATCATCTCCCTATTAAGGTAAACAAAGACCAGAGTATTGTTATTTAAACTTTTCTCTCTCTATGTTCCCAGGCATACATCTCGTTTGCATAGTGCATGTTCGCTAGTTACTAAAGTTTAAGGCATGTTTTGGTTGGTGACTAACTTTGTCACATTATTTCTGCCACACTTGCCTTACTTGAGGTGCTTAAATTCTTAGCCACACTTTGAATTATCTTAGAAAATCTTGCCACATTTTTTGTGTGTATATGATATGTAGGCTTATTGCTCACAACAAGATTCTTGCCACACCTGGTGTGTCTAGAATCAAACACCCACTTAATTTGATCAAACTTGCTTAATTTGAGATGTGGCAAAGTGTGGCTTTTTTTGCACAAATTGGCAAGGTTCGGCTTGAAACTTTTTTTTAGAACAGGCATGGCTAGGAACAACAATTTCTATATTACACACATTGCATCAAATTGCCCCTGTTTCGCACATATCTGAGGGACGACCGAAATAAATGGGCCGTCTCACTAGGCCAGCCAGGTCGCCACCTTTCCCACCGATTTTTATGAAGGTTCTGTTCAGCTATTTTTTCACTCCTTTCCTGTTATTTTTACTTGTTTTTCTGGTTTTCTTTTGGTTTTCTAGTTTTCATTTTTATTTTATTTTCATTTTTTAACATTCAATGTTTCTCTTTTTGTTTTTTTAATATTCTAAATTTTCTCATGTTTTTCAAGAAATGTTCACATTTCAAAAGATGTTTAGAAATTTAATTTTTGTTTGCTTTTTATAAATGATCAGAATTTAAAAAATGTGTTAGAATTTGAAAACAAAATGTTTGTGGGTTCACAATATTCAGGGGTTCTGTAAATTTCAATTTTTCAAAGAATTTTCAGAGTTTTATAATTGTTTGCACTTAAAGAAACATAACTTTAAAAAATCACTTTTTGTTAAACACGTTTGGGTTTTTTATAAAATTCTTTATTTTTTTCGTATTTGTCAAAAATAAATGAAGAAAACTAAACAAACGGTCGCTACAGTGGGCCGAACCAAGCCGGTACAGTCTTGCTTTTCTGTCTCTGTTCATAAAGAAAGAGAGAAAAACTCTATCCCAAACACGGCCGAACCAAATAAAACAGAATGTTCTTGGGCTGTTTAGCGAGGAAACAGAAAGACTAAAATGGGACACGTGATCGCTTGCCCGCTAGTACTACTACCTTTGTCCTTGGACACGTGATTAACCACAGCCCAAGTACAAACGTATCCCACGACAATACACACACGTTCAAGGCAGGACACATAGGCACTGAGCACAGTAACATCACCCCTAACACCACCCTGAAGCTGCCTATGACAAACCATGAGTTTCAAGGCGGCGCCTCCAAGAAAGTTTCCCTGGAGCAACACGATGAACGATAAGAGCCGCGACGACGTCTTCAAGAAGGTAACGCGCTACGCCGCCGTTAGTCCGTCTGAAAATAGAACAGGTTTTCACCCCAGCAAACATTCACCGCCACCGAACGCCACACCCCTGCCACCATGTCACCCACACGGCCATGGTCACCGAGCAGCACCAGCCACAGGCTCTGCCCACGAGCACTACGCTAACACCACCAGGGCCGCCGCCCCGGCATCCAAGACCTTGACACCACCTCACCCGGGACCCGACGATACCCCAGCCAAAGGGACGAGTGGAAAGGCCTCTCCTTTCACACCCCGGACCCAAAGGGCCGGCTAAAATTGGCCTTCATCGCCCCGTCTTGCTGCACCGGGCGCGGGACGAGCTCGGTCCAAACGCCGGGCGCGAGACGAGCTCGGTCCTGCTGCCGGACGCGCGACGAGCTCGGTCCTGCTGTCGGGCGCGTGATGAGCTCGGTCCTACTGCCGGGCGCGAGACGGGCTCCTTCCCGCAGCCACGGGCGCGAGACAAGCAATGGACCGCAGCTGGGAGCGGTGCAGCCCTACGACGAGGGTAGAGCCTGGACGACGCGGGAGGGAAGGTCGATACAGGCCGCTCATCGATGACCAACGCTGGATGATACCAGCCGCCGTCGTGAAACGATCCAGACCACCACCATGAGCTACGACCACGCCGTGACAGCCACATCCACGCCGAGACCTTGAGGAGCAGCCCCGAGCCACCTTGCAGCAGTTGTGACACACCGTCGAAGACAGCCCGCCCCCCCGACCATGGATGGCCAGCACCCCTCCACTCCGAAAGGAGCAGCCTGACCGCCGGCTGCCGCCGCCACCACCCGGATCTGGCCAAGAGCACCCAGATCCACATGTTCTGGTTTATTGGTCCCCTTTGTAATTTGTGTTAAATTTTGACAAAAAAATTAACTAACAAAAATATAAATGCATGTCAACAAAAATTATATCGTTGGATTCGTATTTGAACATATTTTCAATGGTATAATTTTTTATGACATGCTTGGACATTTTGTTAGTTAAAAATTATGGTTAAAATTTGGCATGAAATACAATTGGGACCTATAAATAGGTAGTACTAAGTACTAACTAGGAAAGCATCTTCCTTTTCTCAAAAAAAAAGAAAAAAAGAAAAAGAAAAGTTGCTCCCCGGAAACCTAGGATTAAGGGAGGCGACGCTGCTGATTTTTTGTGTCACGAAGAATGATCCTTACCTACTTGTATAAATATGAACTCTCGCCCAAACCCCGGAGGCCCGGACATAACACACACGCGGCTAGCCGCCAGAAAGATCCTCCCTCCGTAGGCGGCGGCGGCGGCGCCCCATCTGGAGACGGCAAAACGTCAGATCATGACCTGATCTCGCGATCGGATACGTGGAATCCTCTATACTGCGAGGCAGAGTGACAGAAATCGGCATCGATCGTCCAACTTGCTGCCCCGCCCATGTAACTCCTCCTTGCCTCACTACATGTGTCTGTTCTTCGCGAGATTTCGATGTTGCTGCTGCCTTTTGGTCTTCTTCTTCCTTCAGTTTACAGTGCTGACAGTTCAGGATAGAACTCGAAAAATCCAGGTTCAGAAACACGCACTAGGCTCTCCAGCTCTCTGCTGTTTTTATTTTTAGGAGTGATGCGCTTCATTGCTTGCCTGTTGTTTCTGTTGTACAATTGCTTCAGCTCAACTTTCCGGGTTTTTTTTCCTACACATGTGCCAAAATTAAACGACGTGTTCTCTAATGTCCATAGTCTTACATATACTCTGTTCTTAATAACACTGAAAGTTAATTAAGGTGTACTCTTTCTTCCTTCAGTTTCGGTGTAGGAGTTACCCGTTCACCCGTACGTTCATCATGAAGCAACCGCTTTTGGACCAGGCAACTTCTTCCTCATCTGAGGCAACCGGCACTAAATCACTTTTCACAGATGCTGGATGGTTCAGCATCATCACTTTTTATTGGATGGGGCCCTTACTTGATCTTGGCAGAAAGAAACCGCTAGATCTCGACGATGTGCCATTCTTGGATGACAGTGACAGTGTCCATGGGGTCCTCCCTAATTTCAAGGCAAAGATTGTGTCAAACTCTGCGACGGGGCAGTTCACCGGCGTTACGGCGGTCAAGCTGGCCAAGGCTATTGTGCTTACAACATGGAAACCTATCCTCGTCACTGCCGTCTACGCCCTACTTAGCAGTGTTGCTTCATATGTCGGTCCCTACCTGATCGAGTACTTTGTCGACTATCTAAACAAAAGTTCAAGATCCACCAAAGAGGGCTACGTTCTAGTGTTGACGTTTGTTGCCGCGCAGCTGATCGAAGGCCTCTCGACGAGGCATTTGCAGTTTAGATCAAAACAAGTAGGGGTGCGTGCACGTTCATCGCTTGTCGCTGCTATCTACCAGAAAGGCCTTGCCCTCTCCAGTCAGTCCAGGCAAAGCAACTCGAGCGGAGAGATGATCAATGTCGTGAGCCTCGATGCCGAGTGTGTAGGAGATTTCAGTCGATCCATGCACGATCTTTGGCGGCTTCCTGTGCAAATTGTTCTAGCCATGCTCATCTTATACTCGACACTTGGTTTTTGCCCTGCATTTGCTGCCCTTCTTGCCACTGCTTTGACAATTGGGGGTAATAAGCCTTTAGGGAGAATGGAGCAAAATTATCAAGAGAGAATGATGAGCGCCAAGGACGTGAGAATGAGGGCTATGTCTGAGATCTTACAGAGCATGCGCATTCTCAAGCTTCAAGGATGGGAAATGATCTTCTTGTCCAAGATCATAGAGTTGAGGAAGGTAGAGATGAATTGGCTAAAGAAGAACGTATACACCTCGGCGATGCTCCTATCCATCTTCTTTTCTGCTCCTGCTTTTGTTGCTATGGTCACTTTCGGTGTTTGCGTGCTTATGGGCATTCCATTAGAAACAGGTAAAGTGCTATGTGCCCTGGCAACATTTAGACAGCTGCAAACACCTATCCATGGTCTACCAGACGCATACTCTATGATCATTCAGACAAAAGTATCGCTTGACAGGATATGCTCATTTCTCTGTCTTGAGGAACTCCCTAGTGATGTTGTAACTAAGCTTCCTAGGGGTACCACCGATGTGTCGATTGAGGTGACGAACGGTCATTTCTCTTGGAATACATCTTCTCAAGTGCCTACTCTCCAAGACGTGAACTTCCGTATACGACAGGGAATGAGGGTTGCTGTCTGTGGAACAGTTGGATCTGGCAAATCAAGTTTATTGTCTTGCATACTCGGTGAGATACCAAAATTATCAGGAGAGGTTAAAACTTGTGGCAGGATCTCCTATGTTAGCCAAACACCTTGGATACAGAGTGGGAAAATTGAAGATAATATACTTTTCGGCACAGAAATGAATAGGGAGAGGTATGAAAAGGTCCTTGAAGCATGCTCACTTATCAAGGACCTGGATATATTACCATTCGGTGACCAGACGATTATAGGAGAGAGAGGCATTAACCTCAGTGGTGGACAAAAACAGAGGATACAAATAGCCCGTGCTTTGTACCATGATGCTGATATCTATCTATTTGATGATCCGTTTAGTGCAGTTGATGCTCATACTGGATTGCACTTGTTCAAGGTATGTCTTGATGTTTTGTATTTCATTGTTCTTTATGTACTGAATGCTAAAACTAATATCTTATCTGGCGACAGATCTTATACACATTAATTTTGATTATATAAATTTATACTATATTCCCATGTGCTGCAGTGTTCGCCTTCCAGTTTTCGCACAATATCTGAGTCGAGTACTGATACGCATTTAAAGTTTTCCCTTACGAAGTGTCTGTCTATATATCTGAGTACAAGTACTGGCATGCCTTTAATGGGGGCATTCGGTGTAAAACATTGCTTACATGACAAATATTACCGAAACTAACTTGGAAGAATGAGTATTCTTTCGAAAATATTTTTTACCGAGGGTAGTAACTTATTTCAAAATACTTATGCCTGAGAGTGGTAATTAGTCTCTCGCTTCTGTGTCCATCCTATAGCAAATGTTCTTCATATTGCATTTGTAGAAAAATTTGTTTCATAGTTCTTTTAGTCAAGTTAAACAACTCCTTGGATTTTGTGATTGATCCAGTTAGCCAAGCAATTTTGAGTTTATATATCCTTGAGAGAGATTCTAGGGTGCTAGTCAGTGAATTTATTGACCATAATTTGTATTTTGCAGGAGTGCTTGCTTGGATTTTTAGCTTCAAAAACAGTTGTGTATGTTACACATCATGTCGAATTTTTACCTTCAGCCGACGTTATCATGGTATGCTGGAAACTAATGTCTAATGTCTTCTCTATGCTATGTGCAAAAAATCCTTTTCAAGTCCTTTTGTCATATTTCAGGTATTGAAAGATGGCAAAATAATACAAGCAGGGGATTACACTGAAATTCTTAATTCTGGAAAAGAATTCACTGAATTAATTGTGTCCCACAAGGATGCATTATCTACTATGGACATGTTGGAGCTCCCAAGTAGCAATTATGAAAGTAGTTGCCATCTTCATGGCAATGGAAGCGCCCTGCCCATAGCAGATGAGCAAACACATGATAACAATCAAGAAGTACTTGTTCAAAATGGTCAACTTGTACAAGAAGAAGAGAGGGAGAAAGGCCGGGTTGGGTTTATTGTCTACTGGAGATATATTACAATGGCACACAAAGGAGCATTTGTGCCACTTATTTTGCTAGCTCAGATCATTTTTCAATCTCTTCAAATTGGAAGCAATTTATGGATGGCTTGGGCAGCTCCGGTATCTAAAGATGTGAATCCTCCAGTCAATAGCTCGACGATGATAAATGTATATGTTGCATTAGCTCTTGTTACCTCATTGTGCGTCTTCATACGATCCTATCTTCTAGTCATGGCTGGATGTAGGACTGCAACCATGCTATTTGACAAGATGCACGAATGCATATTCCGAGCACCGATGTGTTTCTTTGATTCCACTCCTAGCGGCCGTATCTTGAATAGAGTAAGTAATTGCCTTAAGAAAGTTATTTACAATGATAAATTGAAGTCACATGTCATTGGAGTGCTGTTAAACTTTTTATTCTAGTATTAACGCTGAAATTCGAAACAAATTGCAGGCCTCCACCGATCAGAGCGCAGTGGATACTCAAATATATGATCTGATGGGCTACCTTCTATTTCCTGCCATCGAAATTCTTGGAACAATTATTCTAATGTCGCGGGTTGCATGGCCAGTATTTGTAATTTTTGTCCCTGTTATTATTGCATCTCTATCATATCAGGTAATGTTTCTCATATAGTTTTGTTCGATGTGACTTTTTTGTTGGCATCCATTTTGAAAACATAGGAAAAGTACAAATAGATTAATTCATAGCTAGTAAATTCTGCATGGGAGTTCCACACCTTGAACAACAACAACAAAGCCTTTAGTCCCAAACAACTTCGGGTAGGCTAGAGCTGAAACCCATAAGATCTCGCAACCAACTCATGGTTCTGGCACATGGATATGCTAACTTCCACGCACCCCTGTTCATGGCTAGTTCTTTGATGAAAATATAGAATATCAACAAATTTAGTTTGTAGAGTACATGAGGTAATCATATATTTTGGCAATTATTTTTTATGCCAATGTTCATACAGATAGACTTATTGGTTGGAGTAGTGTTGTGAAAAATCTGTTCAAATATCACTCTATATATAATTTGAAGTGCTACTAATTCTAGAAGCTGTGTTTCTGTTTCCTCAATGAGGTGTCCCGAGATTTTCATGGTTTCTCATATAGGTCACTGAGTATAACTACATTGACTCAAAAACTTGTGTAAGTGACTCAGAGCAGGTCCAGTACAATTTAAATTAGCAGTAGTAGAGGCCATGGCACTTTAACCTTATTGAAGCAACAAGTGACCTTATTGACAGGTGGCTACGCAAAAAGCTAATAATTTTATACTTGAAGAAAAAACCAATAATTTTGTTCAATGGACTTTGAATACCAAGTAAGGTTGGTTTGAACCTCTATATTAACTATTTTATACTCCCTCCCTCTCAAAATAAGTGTCGCAGATTTAGTACAAATTTGTACTAAATCTGCGACACTTATTTTGGGACGGAGGGAGTAAGATTTAAAGAACCTAAAAAAGGTGTCCTTTGCATGTTCAGAACCAAGTGTCACAACTGCAAATTTATACCAATGGTGAATTTTTGGTTAGGCAGATTAAGACAAATTTAGCCCATGACATTCTTTTAATGTATAATATGTAGCATATTATACCAGAAAATTATATTTCTGTCTATCTATGAAATTAATTGGTACTTGTTTCTTCTTTTAATCATAATACCATCCCTTCTCTTCCAGCAATACTACATAAGTGCTGCTAGGGAGTTGCAGAGGTTAACTGGAGTTTACAGAGCTCCTGTGATGCAGCATTTCGCCGAATCAATAGCTGGCACAACTATAATTAGATGCTTTGATAAGAAAAGAGAGTTCATCAGTTGGACTGGCCAATTGATGGATAATTTATCTCGGGCAAGTTTATATAATGCTGCTGCGATGGAATGGCTGTGCTTTCGCTTGGACTTTCTTTCTTCTTTTATTTTTGGATTTGCCTTGATACTTCTGGTCACCTTGCCAACTGATCTAATTGACTCAAGTAAGTAAAGATGCTTTTTCCAATCAACTAAAATTAGAAAATAATGTATTAGCTCCCTGATTAGTATTAATTATTATCTCCTTACACTTCACAGAGACAGCTGGTCTTGCAGTCACTTATGGACTAAGTCTGAATATGCTGATAGGGTGGGCTATTATGGTCCTCTGTGCTTTGGAAAACAGAATGATATCTGTGGAAAGAATATTGCAATACATGACCATTCCTTCTGAACCGCCCCTTACGATATCAGAAAGTAGGCCGGATTGCCATTGGCCAACAAAGGGTGAAATTGAGCTTCGCAACCTCCATGTTCGTTTCTTCAACTTTAAATATTTCATTTTAATTTTGTGTTGCAAATCCATATTGATGAAACTTCTAAAGTTCTATTAGATAGTTTTAATGGCACATAGTATTTTTTTTTTTTGGGTCAGTTAGTAATAGCAGTGCTGAGTTTCTTCTAATATAACGTTGCAGTTATTAGTACCCTATAAGTGCTTGTATGGCATGCAGGTAAAATATGCGCCACATCTGCCTTTAGTTCTGAAAGGCGTGACGTGCACCTTCTCAGGAGGTATGAAGACTGGTATTGTTGGAAGAACAGGTGGTGGAAAGTCAACCTTGATTCAAACACTATTCCGCATTGTCGATCCGTGTGTCGGGCAAATATTGATAGACGGCGTCGACATCTCCACCATTGGACTGCATGACCTACGGACAAGACTGAGCATCATTCCACAAGACCCTGTTATGTTTGAGGGGACTCTGCGAAGCAACATCGACCCTCTCGATGAATACAATGATGAGCAAATCTGGGAGGTACTTATAGTTTCAAATTTACTCCATTCATTTGAAAAATTGATTTGACCCCATAACTTGCAAAAAATCAGCATCTGCATTGGATCTATGTTGTCTAGGCATTGGACTGCTGTCATCTTGGAGATGAAGTTCGGAAGAACGAGCTTAAGCTCGACTCTACAGGTTTGATAGTATTTATGAAGAAATTCCCAGTGGACATTGCTTTTCTTTATGATGGCGAACCAATAACTTGGCATTTTGAACTGAAATGCAGTGACAGAGAATGGCGAAAACTGGAGCGCGGGTCAGCGGCAGCTTGTTTGCTTGGGAAGGGTGATTCTAAAGAGGAGACGGATCTTAGTTTTGGACGAGGCAACTTCTTCAGTGGATCCGATAACCGACAGTTTGATCCAGAAAACCTTGAAACAGCAATTCGCCGAATGCACCGTGATCACGATAGCGCACCGTATCACATCGGTTCTTGATAGCGAGAGGGTTATTCTTCTGGACAACGGTTAGTCCTCTCCACTGCCTTGCACATTTTTAGCTGACAAATCCTATATTTTTATGTTGTTCTCCTCTGTTGGTCTGTTTTAACTCCTGTTGTGCTGTCGTAAAACAGGTGAAATTGCAGAGCACGACTCACCGGCGAGGTTGCTAGAGGACAGTTCGTCCTTATTCTCCAAACTTGTGTCGGAATACACAATGGGATCAAAATTATAAGCAGAGGATGCAAAGTAGAGCAAGTCATGGTGCCGACATCGCCGGTGTTCGATTGGATCTCACGTTTCCGGCTTGAAATTAGACGGCTGCTCAGAACTCCACATATATTTCTCCAAATTGGTGCATGCAGTTCTTACAGTATAAAGATGTACTAGTAGTGACCATTAGTTTAAGCTTGGTCGGATCATATTAAGGTGGAGGTTGATACTTCATCCCTCTTAGCTCGAGATTCATACTTCACCGATTATAAGCTAGTGGGTTTCACCGGCTACCCACACCACATACTTGTCCGGCATGTAGTGGCAGATCGGCTCGCCGCGGGACCCGTTGAGCGTCGCGAAGTACTCGGCGTCCCAGCCGGAGGTGTCCTCGTGGCAGACGGCGATCGCCGTCGCGCCCAGCGAAGGGTCGTCCTGCCCGACCAGCTCCACGCGCACCGCCCGCACGTTGCCTGGCCGGTGGCAGTACAGCACGTCCGCCGGGTACGGCAGCGGGTGGCACGGCACGACCGCGCCGGCAATGCCGGCGACGCCGCCGTGTGCCACCTTGTACCTGTGCGGCTCCTCGCGCCCGTGCACGACCGTCCTGAGCGGCTCCGCCGACGCCGCTCCCAGGGCCGCGGCGGCGAACTCCATGGCCTCTTGCTCTGTGGTGGCACAGACGTGTGGTTTTTCCGGCTGGTCGCCGCCTCGTGCGTCGCTGCGGCCGCAGAACCGGAGCGTGCTGGCGACCTGCCGGGCCTGCTCCGAGCCCGGCGTTATGCTGTAGTAAGCCAGTATGTCTCCGAGATTGCCGTAGGCGAACGGCGGCGGCACGGGGTCTGTGCCGGTGACCGTGCTGGGGGTGCCTGTCCCCCTGACGTGGCCCAGCTTGGTGTCTGCGGGCAGCACGGCGCCGGCGAACAGGTTGCGCTTGAGAAAGAGGATCCCTTTGTCGGCCTTGAGGTGCTGTGGCCGGGGGTTGCACCACTGTGTCGGGAACACGCCGTCCGACGCTGCACTCACAACACGTACGCAATTCAAGATGGAAACTAATGATCGCTCCATGATACAAATTCTAACTTAAATTAATTGTTAAGGTGGAGGTAAAAAATGAGATTGCTTACGATGAAGAGGTGGGATTGTTGACGAAAGACCGCGCGGTGACCACGTGACATCATACGCGGCTGAACAAACCACAAAATGATCAGTAGTTTTCCCTTTTCTTCCTTTTTGAATTCAAATAATCAATAGTGTTGTACTCCCTCCGTCCCATAATATATGAGCTTTTGTCAAAAAAGCAGAGTAGCATTTATATAAATAGGACACAACATAAACCGGAATTTGAAGCCATCAATTTGCCCATAAACACCGCATGGTCTCTTATAGCCATGACATATGTGCTAGGACGCAAGGTATAGCCGTATGACTTATATTTCAAGGGACGTCATCCTTATCGACATGCATGTACATAGGTGATGCGACAACAAAAATGGCAATCAACGGGACGAATCAAAAACAGGATTAAAACCATCAAAAAATTGCAACCCGACTAAAAACAATCAACTAGTGTGCAAAATAGCGACCCATAAATTTACATGAATGAGGATGACCATCGGTTTGCTCTGCTCCTGCAACGAACCCAAGGACAAACATGGCTATGAGAACCGTCATCATCGCAGTTTCTTTCGCAATGTTCTCTTCGTTTTCCATTTTCTATTCGGCAAGTGTATTTTTATACTAGCATTAGCGTCGGGTTTGCATTTCTAAACCGACGCGAAGCCGGAAAAAGCGCGAATGTTGTGATTTCTGTTTCGCAACCGAACACACTATTGGTATGCTTGCCACGCCACCATCAACTCTACATGGATGGAATCCGTTGGCAGTTACGATGAAAATAATGCTAGATAGCAAATACCCCTTGTCTTTTATGATGGACCCACTTGTATCTTTGTACTCACAAAGTGTTGATATATTCCTCTCAACATCTCTAGATAACTCACTTTTGTACCGAACCTATAAATCAAATAAAATAAAGCCGGTGTGGCACTCGCGGAAGAACACTGACGCTCATGAGATGCGGGAGTCCATGGTGGTAAAAGGGGAGCCTACGAGCGGCCTCTGGTTTTGTACTTAGCTTCCCCTCCCCCTCCCTTAGTTTCCTTCTTCCTAATTACTCATCCTCCTCACTTAATCCCATTTTCCCTAGCAAGGGGTGAGGATGAGAACCAACGGAAGCAATGAATTCAGCGACGTTGGTGATCTTTGTTGAACTGACGTGGGATTGCAAGCAGGGGCTTTGAAAATTGGGAAATTGGGAAATACTAGTAATATGTATGGTAAATTTTTACAATATAGTTGTCACCCTGTGATATCAAGAGTAATTCACAATGCTCTGCGTGGTATCTTAATAGTGTTGCGCCCTGCATGGTGAATTTTGTAATCAATGATTGTAATAACTATGTTAGTTATTAATATATGAGGTGTTTAGAAAAAAGAGTAATTCACATTGCTCTTTACTGTTAAACTCTGACCTCTCGGTAAACACACATCAATCACTCAATGCAACTCTTTGATATATTGTTCTGATTCATAGCGTCTAAATATTGGCTAACTCGCAGTGAAACATTGCAACAATGGTGGTAGCGAGTGGAGTTGGGTTGCATTGCAAAGTTGGACTCTAATCACGTATGCCAACATGATGGTGATAATGTCTCACAAAAGACGGTTTCGGTGTGCGGTGATCTCAACGGCCATGATGAGATTTGTCGATTCAAGGTTTGCAACTTCCTCCCACTAGCAGCACTAAAGAATAAAGATGGAGCTAACTAGCCATTGATGCGATGGGCTAGTTCTTTGGCAGGACCGACCTAGTTGAATTTCTAGTGGTGTGTGTCGAGTCGGCTAGGTTCTCTGAACATGTTGCTATATTATTGGACATGTTGACAATTAATACAAGTACTTTTTTGACACCATGAAATTTTTAGCAGGTGCCCAAATCCTCAAAATACTCATATATTTATGAATTTTGCAATTAATCTGATCAAATGTAAATAAGTTTGATTTAGGACAAATTTAAAACTTTAAATATTTTGAACGGAGGAAGCAAAACGCGAGCACAAATATATGAGTATTTTCTCTGTAAAATAAAATTAATGTATTTTGCAGCCGCAAAAAAAAATGTATTTTGAATGGAGGACCTAAACGAAGCACGACAAACAGTGCAATTCGTTGGTGGATATCCCTATGCATTTTTCTCTGTAAAAATAATGTATTTTCGGTCCTGCCGCCCGCAAGAAAGATGGCAGCCGGAATCTCCATGGTCATAGTGCACAGGAACTCTGCTTCGAGCCTTCGATCCCCGCCCCCTAGCAAGCTACCTAAAGAGAGCAGGAGCCGATCTTGAGCCCACACACTCCAACAAGGTAGTGCTGAACCAGGTCCTTGAAGCATATCGCCATGTCAGAAAAGCACAGTGTGTCATCTTCATCTCCTTCTACGAGCTCGAGAGCGATGCCATTGACTCCCTAAGGCGAGAGCTCCCCTGCCCTGTGTTCGCCCTTGGCCCTTGCATCCCCTTCATGTCACTCCAAGAACACAATGCCAACTCTTCACAAGAGCAAGGCTCCATGGCTTGGCTGGACGCGCAGCCGGTGAACTCAGTGTTGTATGTCTCACTTTGCAGCTACCTCTCGATGTCGTCCGCTCAGCTGGACGAGATCGCCATTTTCTTTTTGACCAAAAACAGTAGGAAAGGCTCCTATTGTGTAATTATATTAATAAACCAAGATCACTGTACAGGGAGAGTATTTACATGGTGGAATGGGGAGGCTTGACCACTTTGGGTCAAGCTAAAGGAGCAAATACAAAGTAACAGGGTCTAGTGTAAGGAGTTTACAATATTCAAAACAAGAGGCCTATGTGCCTCTTTGACCCTATGCTGAAGGAGTTCAAAATCTTTCTTGAATTTTTCAAGCCAGGACCGAAATGAGGGGTCTATCGATCTGATATTTTTATTGTTTCTCTCCTTGCAAATGCTCCACGCCGCCACAGTAAATTTTTCAAACAACATCGGCGTGGGGCGGTTGGTTATTTGATCCTCGATAGCTTGCACCGGACCAGAGAATTGTTCCCAATTTATGTCCAGAGCTCGCCAGCATTGCTTACTGAATGAGCAGGTGAAGATCATGTGATCAACCGTTTCTTCAATGTTGAGTCCACAGAGAAGGTTGTTGTGGTCATCACCTATGTTGTAGTGGCGTCTTTTGAGCATATTCCGAGTGTTCAGCCTGTCATTGAGTAATAGCCATGCAAAAACCTTCAGCTTCATTGTGCACTTGGATTTTCAGAGCCACACGAACACTTGATGGGATTGAACATCCCTGAAGAAGAAGCGGTAATAATCTGTGGATTTGAAGATGGTTTTGCCCCAAACATAATGCCAAACGTCCGAAGAGGCAGCCATGGGTTGGAAGGATGACACAATCGTCTGCATGTGCCTTATCTCATTGAGCGCTTGGGGAGAGAGCGCTAGGTGAAAGGCCGCTCCGAGTGACGTGATCCCCAAAAAATCTCTGACGGAGACATCTTCGTTGGTTGCATGCGAGAAAGCCCGGGGGTGTGACTCCTGAAGCAGTTGATCAGCCCATAGATCTTTCCAAAAGAGGGTTGTGGTGCCACAGACAATGTTGATGCGAGAGATCCCTCGAAAAGTAGGGGTGAGCTTGAGCATGTCACACCACCAGAAGGACCCGACCGGATCCATAGCGTGTGGGTTTTTTTGGTTATAGTATGTGTCCCAAGTGAGTTGCACTCAAGGGATGTCCAGCTTATTATAAAATTTGTGTAAGAACTTCATGAGGAGGGATTCATTCTGGATCTTGAGGTTTATCACTCCGAGCCCCCCCCCCCCTTGTTTTTGGGCTTACATACCATGTCCCGGGCAGCAAGAGAGTTGCATTTCTCTCCCTGGTTTGTTTTCTTGACCCAGAGGCATCTTCTTCTAATTTTATCCAACATTTCAATGAGTTTTGGCGGGAACTTTAGCGTACACATAGCATAAATGAGCAAAGATGTGACTATAGTGTTGAGCAGTGTAAGTTTCCCAACATAAGACATAAGCGAGAGCGTTGATGACAGGTTCCATTCAATAGTGCTGACAAGCGGCATGAAATCTTGAATCGTGGGCCGGGAAGTGCCGAGGGGCAGGCCAAGATATGTGAAGGGCATAGAACCTATTGAGCATCCAAAAATTGCTGCAATATTTGTGGCAAATTCTGAATCCAAGTTGATGGGGATGAGTGTGGACTTGTCGAAGTTGATCTTCAAGCCAATGGACTGAGCATAGTCAGAAAGTATGTTCTTAATGATTGCAGCTTGTCTGGGGCAAGCATGCATGAGTAGGATCGTGTCATCGGCGTAGGGCGATTGGGTAGTCCATATTCCCGTTGGAGGGGAAGGGCAAGTTAATTAGACCTCTCTTAAAGGCATCATTAATTACTGATTTAAGGAGATCTGCAGCCAGGATGAAGATGAGAGGGGAGAGCGGGTCACCCTGACGGACACCACGGCGGCAGTGAAATTGTCGGCCCAACACTCCATTGAGAAGAATAGAGGACTGTCCAGAGGAAAACTCGTCCTTATTGTAAGTGCATCTAGTGCCCCTTAGTGATTTTGGTGTATTGAAGACTTATAGGTTAAGGGAATAATATGTTTGTGAGTGTACATAGGCTCTATAAGTCGATGAGGAGTTTGATATTTACAGTGGAAGTCGACCCCTAAAAATGAATGTCTTCGGCTGAAGACTTTGGTTCTCCTGAAGACTTTGAAAGTGAAGAAATTGGTGTGACCTTGAAGACTTGCATATTCATGCGAGGAATATGGAGCGTGAAGACTTTTGTTTTCGTAGTTTCATTTTCTCTTTCTTGAATCATAGGAAACACCGTACTATTAAAGGGGGTTGAGGTAATACTAAGGAAACTGATTCCCATGTGATGCTCATCTCAAAATCCTACACCTACCCAATCCTTCAAGTGAAGCCATTAGAAATCTCATATCAGTTCAGTCAATTTCTTCAGTGACAGAGACGAAGATCTTCTGGTCTTTGAGGAATTTGTTCTGACTGAGGAGTTAGGAATTCGCTAGTGTAGATTACCTACACAGTGAGAAACATGATAGCCCTGAGGATTTCGAACCTCAAAATATCTGACCATTGCTGAGCTGCGCGCTAGCTGTCCCAAAAATATCGACCACCTAACGGTCATATCAGCCAAGGGCATTTACGTCTTATCATGTCAGGCTGCTCCCTAGGCTATAAATAGCCGCCCCCCTACAACCACTAGCTGGTTGGCTGCTCCGAGAGAAACTGACACTTGTCATTTGAGAGCATCCCATCCTCCGAGGACTTTGAGCAAAAATCATCAAGTGAGGAAATACCCAAATCCCAAACCCAAACCTACAAAACCCAAAGTGATTGAGCATCACTGAAGATATTATTCCTGTGTAGAACCGACGCTTGTTACCTTTGAGGACTGTGTATCCTCCAAACGGTTAGGCGTCATGGTCTGAGCATCCAAGAGGAATTGTGGATTGCCGAGTGACCAAGTCTGTGAAGGTTTGGAAGTCACCTATGAAGACTTACCACTACTGTTGGGCGAGATTTGCGTGATCTTAGCTCAAGGAGAATACGGTGAGGACTGTGTGTCCGGGACTAT